TGTGTGTGTGTGTGTGTGTGTGTGTGTTGGAAACAGTGATGTCTGAAGCAATCCTGCCCCCTGTAGTCTGTTTTTCTTTGAACTGAGCACAGAGAAAATACTTTATGCTTGTGGTTGACTTTGGGGTTAATTAAAGTGTGTTGAGAGTGATTGTGTGTGTGTGTGTGTGTGTGTGTGTGTGTGTGTGTGCGTGCGTGCGTGCGTGCGTGCGTGCGTGCGTGTGTGTGTGTGTGTGTGTGTGTGTGTGTGTGTGTGTGTGTGTGTGTGTGTGTGTGTGTGTGTGTGTGTGTGTGTGTGTGTGTGTGTTAAGAGGGCCTGAGCCAAAATAAAGCAGTGAAGTATTGTGAGCAAAACATCAAAGAGCAGATTTAGATGCAGCTTTACCTCAAACAGTGACTGAGTGCAGTGAAGAGGCTCTTTGTGATGATGAAATGTTAAACACATCGAAGCAACACAACACAGCAGGACGCGGCCAGTCAGGTGGAAGAGCAGATTCAAACTGACTGACTGATGTGGGATCAGCTGAAGTTTCTCCACACAAAGCTGTTTGTGTTACACTTGCAGAGTTGGCTGTTGAAGTGTGAATGATGCAAAAGTAGCAGCAAAACTGAGTTTGTTAACAGAGTATACAGTAGCAGTCCGAGGTTAACTTCCACTCACCAATAGCAGAGCTTTAGGGATCGATTGGAATCCTTGATTTCCAGGTCGAATACCTCCTCAATCCCACCAGCACATCTTCCAGTGAGGAAGCAGAGGGGAGTATGGGTTGGACTCTCCAATCTCCGGGGCCGAGGTCAGTGAGGTGGTCAAAAATCTCCTCAGTTGCAAGGCCCCGGGGGTGGATGAGGTCCTCCCGGAGTTCCTTAGGGCCAGTAGGGGTTGCATGACAATTTTTTTAAAGTCTACAGCCAAGTAATGAAAATCGAGTCGACTCCAACTAGTCGTTGGTGACGTCATACACCTGAAGCGGCGAGGGCGGGGGGGGGGGGGGGGGGGGGGGTTCGCTGGAGTTTTTGACAATTAAAATTGCGCCCACATTTTCTAAGTTAACACATCTCTTTTAATAACAGTACTTTCTGCATCCTACTTCAGCCCTCTCCCCCCTCCCCCTGCGCAGCAGCCGCAAACTCACTGATGCGCCTGCAGCCTCTCGGAGTTCCTGCTGCTCTAAACATTAAAATAATTATTTCATTTTCTGTTCCTCACTTCTGATTACCTTCAATGGTGTCTGTTTGTTGCAACCACCAGGTACAAAAACTAACTTGTTTTTATTTGACTATTTTTCTGTTCTGTTTATTATCTTCCTGCATCTCCTCTCAACCCTAAAGAAAAACTGCTACCTGGGTTAATATATATTCACCTTATGAGTTACCTTTGAACTGCAGTTCTAAGATCTACCGACCAGAAAACAGCGGAGTACTGCTGCTCGCCGGCTGACTACAACGGGACCGTTTTTGCTGCGGAGTTCGTGCCGGAGCGGAGATAGTGGAATTTAGGGGGTGCGTCACCAGAGGACAAAACATGTGATGCACCTCGCTCCGCAGCAGCAAAACGCATCAGGCACAAATAACAGACAGAAAACATTAAAGGAAATGAGCCGACATGAACGATCGCGTGTTTAATTTGTTTTTGAGGTGGTGACACCTGATTTGGCGGTGCTCAGGACGCAATGTCTGGAGCGCATCAACGATCAGAGCTTTGCATGCACAAGCTGGTTAAGATTATGATGGGGGTGAGGGGAAGGTAAAATTGCAAGAGGGAAAAGGTCACAGTTTGGTTAAATGTCCGTTTTACCGCCGGTGTCAGTACCGACGCTCGGGCACAGCGCGTCGCCTCCGCCTCCCGACGCGCAGGGGCTCATCACCTGCTGTCTTTTCCGAGGACTGCATCTTGTCAGTCATTATCACGTGACAGCGACTAATCGATGACAGGCATAAAAAGTCACTAAAGAGCCGTGAAGTCGACTAGTCGACTAGTTCATACAACCTCTAAGGGCCAGTTCCTCTGGATTGGCAGACTGGGGTGGTGGTTCCCCATAAAAGGGGGACTGCTGAACGTGCTCCAACAACAGAGGGATCACATTTCTGAGCCTCCCTGGTAAGGTCTATTCAGGGGTTCTGGAGAGGAGGGTCCGTCTGATTGTTGAACCTTGGATTCAGGAGGAACAATGTGGTTTTCGTCCTGGCCGTGGAACATTGGACCAGCTCTATACCCTTGGGGCATACTGGGGGATGCGTAGGAGTTCGCCCAACCAATCTACATGTATTTTGTGGATTTGGAGAAGGTGTTGGGCTGCTTCCCCCGGGGAGCCCTGTGGGGGGTACTCCAGGAGTATGGGGTACCATGCTCTCTGATACAGGCTGTTAGGTCCCTGTATGACCGGTGTCAGAGCTTGGTTCACATTACCAGCAGTAAGTCAAGCTTGTTTACACTGAGAGTTGGACTCCACCAAGGCTGTCATTTTTTACCGATTCTGTTCATAACTTTTATGGACAGGATTTCTAGGTGCAGCCAAGGTGTTGAGGGGATCTGTTTTAGTGGCCTGAGGATCAGGTTCCTGCTTCTTGCAGATGATGTGGTCCTGTTGCAGACAGTGATCTCCAGCTTTCGCTGGAGCGGTTCGCAGTCGAGTGTGAAGCAGCTGGAATGAGAATCGGCTCCTTTAAATCCAAGAACATGGTCTTGAATCGGAAAAGGGTAGAATGCCTTCTCCAGGTCAGGGATGAGGTCCTGCCTGAAGTAGTTTAAGTATCTAGGGGTCTTGTTCACGAGTGAGGGGAAAATGGAGCGTGAGATCAACAGGAGGATTGGTGCTGCATCTGCAGTGGTGCGGGCGCTGTCCCGATCTGTCGTGGTGAAGAGAGAGCTGAGCTAGAAGGCAAAACTCTTGATTTATTGGTTGATCTACAGTACAGGCCAAAAGTTTGGAGACACATTCTCATTCAATGTGTTGTCTTTATTTTCATGACATTTACATTGGTAGATTCTCATTGAAGGCATCAAAACTATAAATGAACACATGTGGAGTAAGGTGAAATAACTGAAAACATGTTTTTTTATTATATCTTCTTCAAAGTAGCCATTTTTTGCTCGAATTACTGCTTTACACACTCTTGGCATACTCTTTCCAGGAATCAAAGGGTTGCTGGTGTGATCCAAGGTCACGGCTAATCATTGTGCCATTGTTTAGGTAGACACTTCACCCATTCTGCTGCCTAACATCTGTGTAAGTCATTCTAGACAAACACATCTGCTAAATGTATGAACATTTTTATGCCTTTTAACACTAATGAACCTGTGTTGTCATCATTTTCAATAAAATATTTAGACAGATACTCAACTTTCTATTGCAATAACATAATCTGTTGCAATATCTTTATATAGATGAACAAAAATTGTCCATCAAAATACCAGCCTTTATGATGAATTTCTTCACAGAATGTAAACAGGCCGAGAGAGCAGACACTCCTGCTGTGATTTAATAAAAACATGTGCACGTCTGAAGTGTGTTAGTCTCTGTTTTAACTGTCATACAGTATTATTTAGTAAGTAATTTCTTCTCTGAGGGGTTTGTTTTCTGCATTCACTTTTGGTCATTTTATTTTGAAATTTGTGAGAGGAAGTATTACTTTTTCCAGAATCGTGGGTCTCTGCTGCCCTCTGGTGGTCAAACCATGAGATACAGAAGATAATCATAAAAATGTTCTCGAAATTTAAAATTAAAACAACAAATTAAAAATTCGTGCACGTGGCTCTGTTGTGCCTGATAAAAACCTGAGACACATGGCACCTTCTCCTGGTTATAGGTTTGGTCTTTTGGATCAGGCACTAAGTTGTGGAAACGCAAAAGATATGATGATGTTTTCATCACAGATGCAGTGGATTAAGTTTACATTCCAACAAACACATAAACCATTCAAGCCAATTGTGTTTGACTTTGGTGTTTTGAATTTAGAAATTTTAAACTGAATTTTCTCTGCTTCAGATGAGGTAAAATCATCCTGTGAGTTAAGTGCTTGGTTTAGGGACAAAATGATGTGAAAATTGGACTTGGTCATTAACTGGGCTGCATCCTGTCTCATACTGCGTTGTTAAAGCCACAGGGTCCTAGTTGTTTATAGAGATCACATGGTCCTGCCTGTGAAGCAGCAAACTAAGAGAATCGTTATTTTGTTCAGAATCCAGCTTGGGAAAGTTTCATCCCAGACCTCTGTTCTTTTCTTTTACTTTCTAGAAAAGGAAAATGGCCTGGCACCTGAGCTTGAGCTGATGAAAGGGGGAAGAAAACACATCTGGACAACTATAGCGTCAGCCAGAAAGCATCTCCTTTAATCAGATCTGGCCTCATAAACGTTCGCTCTGTCAGTAAGGCTTAAGTGTAACACACATATAGTGGTCAGGCCAAGATACATTTCAAACAAATAATTTAGAAACACTGTTGTGTGAGATAATGGCTTTGTTTTTGAGGTTTAGGATTTGTAACATACATTTTCTTGTTGTTTTGGTTGCGTTGTGCTTTTATTTTCCTTTGAAAAATAACAGGCAAGTAGGCAAGCCAAACTGGCACAGCATCCAGCTGTTTTTTATATCTATATTTAAAATTTCTGAGTGGGAAAACTGCTTTGTGCAGAACTTCTAAAATCTTGCATGTATCATTTTGTGTTTTTTGTTTCCTCTGCATTGCTTTTAAATACCTCACGTTTGGAGCAATTCAACAAAAATGCACCTAACTGAACACAACAGAGTCCAATGTACTTGACATTGATTGTGTATAGCACATATTGAGTTTTTCTCAGCTAAGGAAGATTTGAAAAACCGATGCTGCGTTAAACCAACAGAAGAGCTCTTCATCTAGTTGCTCTGGTAGAAGCATTTTGTTTTCAACGATTTAATATTTTGTTTTAAACACTTTTCCAAATGGGTCTGCGTTTTATGTTTGCACTGATGAACAGATAAATAAAACATGCAAACAGCTTAATTGTTGGTCTTGCTTGTTTTCTGTTGTGCTACTGTTGCAGAGCCTCCGCCACCAGGGGCGCTGTTATCTCCTTTCATACCCATAAGCGGGGGAGTGAGAGGTGCATGAAATGGAGAAAAATGGCGGATCATGTGCAGGTAAGCAGAGGTTTCATGTTTTTGTTACCGACAGTGTGTCCAGGAGCGGGGGGAAGAGGCTGAACGTGGATCCCGGTGCGGCGTTTCGGGCACAGAAGCATTGTTCGGCTGGTGGGTGCAGCCGGTGTCGGTCCGCGGGCTGTCGGTAGTAAAATAAAGGATGAGCAGCCTGTGTTGACTCGTGGCCTGCTGTCACTGCTCAGGCTGCTTGTTGCTGCGTTAGCTTGTGTTAGCTGCTAAACAGAACGGAGCCGACATAATGCCTTGTGCTCCTAACCCCTGTTATTCTTGATGTTTGTTTCGATGAGAGGCTCGGTACCAGTGGAACCAATGCGTGTTTTTTCCTTTGCGTTTTAAGGTTTAAGAAATAAACAAAAACATACATGGCTGGCAGCGTACGACTAGTAGCTTCCAAGCTAACACACTCCGGTTAATGGTAATTCGCGCCACTGGGGCTCCCATTGGGAACATTTCACAAGTCGGAACCTGCGCCGGAAAGGTTCTCATTACGTGCTTTACTGGAGGTGTAACTGTTTGTTTACATATGTTATTACCGCCGTCCAAACGCCTTTACGTGCTAGGCTATGCTAACGCTAGCCTCTGCTCAGGCATCAACTTCTCCCGCCCGAGCTGGTTTGAAAACATGACTCGATCTGTTTAACTGTTTGTCGGTGAAATGGGTTGCAGACCCGCAGCTTGTGGGTACTAGGGAGACTGATCCAGGTCACCAGCAGTTTTTACCCATCTGTTGTTATTGTGCGCAGCTAAGCGGCAGTATTCTGTGTTGCTAGCTTTCACGGAGTCCTGGTCTGACTCGGACACATGTGCAGCAGCAATTAAAGGCAAGGGCAGGGTCCAACTTTCCGTTCTCCCGGCTGCTCCTCCATGTTGTCCTGAGAAAGACCTTGTTGTGTGAGAGCCTGACCACTACGGTCTTTTTCTCAGCACGTTTGATCGTGATTAATGCGAGCGCTATTTGGTTTACCGAACTTGTTTTACCTGAATCCCAAACAGTAGAAACGTGGTAGCGGTTGAAGGGGAGGGAGCCTTCGTAATGATGATGATGGGAGAGGCTGTGCGCAGCATCATCCCACACTTTCTTGGATTTCAGCGCGGCGGACTTGTTTGTGTGATGCTCCCTTCATAAGAAGATGCAAATCGACTCGAAAACAAATGATTTTGTTTATTTGTATCCAACAATAATGGCTGATTTGTCTAGTTTTGCATGTATTAATTTAATTATAATGCAACAAAACAAAACAGTTCAAACAAGAAGATCCATTTTTATTGAAGAAATGATTAACTGTGATAGGGCAAATTTGACCTGTTTATAGGGTCATTATAATGTGATTAGTTAATTGATAAAAAAAACTAAAGTTTGCTACAGAAAATGCATTTCAGTCTCTCAACTGAAATGCATTTTCTTCAAAAGAAGAATTGAAATTAAATTAAAGTTGTACTTTGTTGTTTAGAAGTTTTACCTACTTGTTAATAATTCTAATGAGTGAAAACAAAAACTGTCATACTGGGATGTTTACTGTGGGTTTGGATATAATGAATGAGTGAATGTAAACAGACACATTTCCAAACAAGTATGGAGATTTTATTTATTGAAGCAAAATGTATATTTTCTTTAATGCAGTGTTGAAATGATAAATGAACCACACTTGCATAGCGCCTCAGAGTCAGAGGACTCCAAAGCGCTTTATACTAAGCAACAACACACTCGAGGTCATGCGTTGTTGCTGAATATCAGCACTGGTGTGATTATCTAAGGCCAAATGACACCAGTGCAGATATTCAGCAACAACGCATGATCTCGAGTGTGATATTGCTTTTATACAACAGTTCTACCTGCTCATTTTGTTTTTATAATAACAATAAGCAACAACAGATTATGATTTATTCATTTATCAGACTCCACCAACACAAATTGTCCCAACACGAAACAGAGACGCAGACAAGGCTGTTTCTAGGCAACACAAACGTTTTCTACAAAGCACTGTAATAACGGTTAGAATGGCTGTGCACAGCAGAGTGATACTGTTTGTAAACAGTCCAGTGCTGTTGTAGTCCAATATCAGCACTCTTGGAAAGTCTCTTGACCAATCAAATCACTCGGTCGGAACTAACTGTTGTATAATATAATGTGTCATTCATCCATTCACACACACACACATTGATGAACTATGTTGCAGCCACAGCTGCCCTGGTGCACACTGATAGAGGCAAGGCCTGGCAAACACTGGCACCATGGGTCCCTCCTACCACCAGCAGCAGGCAGGGGGGGTTAAGTGCAAGGACACAACAGCAGAATTCACCACTGGGAGCCGGGGCCGGACCTACAACCTAGGGCTGGGCAATAAAATGAAAATTTATCGTTATCAAAATTTCTGACTTATTGAGATAATGTTTCCCATGTCAATAAATTTGATGAAAAAAAAAATGAAATGATGTGTTTAGGTATGCAACGCTTATGTCCCTTTAAGAAGCTGTACCACCTTGAGTCACGTAAAAATGGCCTTGTTCGAGATGAGCAGCGCTTCGCCTGGAAAAGAGACGAGAGCAGACGGATGCAGCAGTGGGAGTGGCTAAAAGCCGGCGTTTAAGTCGGACAGATTTCCCTATATGTGTAGCTCGCGGGTGACGATGGCTGAAGATATCACGTTAGCATTCATACTTGTTTAATTTTTAACTTTTATTCTGGTGCCTGTTAGTAACTGAAGCACATTCTCACATGCTTGTGGATATCATATAATGTAGACGTGCATATGAAGATATAATAAGTTAAGGTGATCAGAAATTTAATGTGCTCATAGGAAATGTGACAAGAACACAAAACACATTTTTCTTTATAACCTATATAATTGTCATCAATAACGTAACATGATTTACAGAATACATTTGACCAACTAACATTTCGCATTCTACCACCAGATGTTTGGATCAAAATGGGAACCAATCAGATCTTAGATCAGGTGAGAGCCAGGCGTTTCTCATCATGCCCTACGTTTTGCAGCCGGTGGAGACCAACTGCAGCACCTTGCTCCAAAATCTGCGCCTGCCTTGATCTTGCATGGTTATCGTTGCCTACATAGGCACGACGTCAGAGCTAGTCGGCATCAAATCTGACACAAATCTAACCTGCATGCCGATCACCGGTGATCTAATCTGCGTAGAGCTGGTTCATCTCGATTATGGCCAATGTGATTCAATAGCCACGTTTACATGTGCACATTTAATCGGATTGACCGCCCAATCCGATCAAAAATTCTGCATGTACACATGTCAATCAGAATGTTCTGAACCGATTTGGCCCGACCGGAATGAAATTTCAATCCGATTGAGAGAGGTGGTTTTGCCCAAAACTCATTCCGATTGACGTGCATGTACACAGCCGTTAGGATTGTTGGAGTAAAATAATGCCCACTCCACTTGTGTGCAACAGCTAGCGAGCCTCCCCGCTGTCATTTAGACTACCCGACTTAAATAAATGACGGCCTAATTTAAGAGCGCCGGCTTTTAAATATGATGACAAGCCGTCCCCGCTTCTATAAAATCTAATCCAGAACTTGCATTTTGTGGAAGTAAAATAAAAATCAGATTATTGCACAAATCATTCGACAAACATGTTCAAGTCTGTACTGGAAACACGCAGATTCATTTGGAGTTTGCAGCACCGATCCCTATTTCTGTGAACGAAGCGCAGCTGCAGCAGGTGGATGGAGACGTGCTCGTAAGGAAGACAGGGTAACATCGGTTACACAGACCTGGTTTGAGTTTAAGGAGGCTGATGTTTAGTAGAAAAACATCCTCAGTTAAATGTTATGGGTGACTTAATGTGTAAAAACATGTTAACACAGAATAGATGAGATGTGGTTCGTTTAACACATGATGAACAGCTTCCAGACTTTCTCAACATCTCCTGTTTAGTTTGAACCAACTTTTCTCAACAGTTTCAGCTTGTTGTTACATTTTATTTATTAATGATAAACCACAACAGAGCTCAGTAATAACACATGAGTCTGAACCCCCCTGAGTCTAAACTCACGGCATGATCGGATCATTTCTGTTAGTGTTTATGTAAACAGAGATTCTGGATTTCCGATCGACCAAGATTTGAATCGGATTGGGGAAATTTGGCGCATGTAAACAAGGCTAATGTAATACACGTGACAGCCCCATCTAGTGGACCACTTTTGTTTCTGTGCATACCTGTAGTTATAGTCCATTTAACGTTATTGAGGTGAAATCCTCAATATATCGTGATATTGATTTTAGGCCATATCGCTCAGCCCTATTACAACCTTCCGATTACTTGACAACCCACTCTACCTCCTGAGCCACTGCTGCCCCTTAATGGGTATGTGTTCTGTATAGCAAGTGCTACTGAATGTTTGGCTATTTGTTTTACTATAAATTATCGTTATAGAGCATATTTTTCAAGAGATTTGTCTAGAAAAATAAACTTAAACAAGTTGTTTTAGTGTTTTTTTTTTAATCTTAAAGTGGAAGTTTGTTTTTTGTCTTACTTGCTTGAGCTCCACCAACCCAGATGGGCATCTTGCATCTGGTGCACTTGAGTTTTTAAATTTGATGTATTGGGACTGATGACTGGGACGTAAACCAATCAGATCAGGAGTGTGTTGTGCACCCAAACAGTCTTATTGTGGTCACTAAGAAACTTCAAGACCCCTAAACACATTTCTATTAGTAACATATTTCTTGTCAATAACTTTAATATATTTCCTATTAGACAAAAAGTTGCAGGTGTCACAGAAATCGCACAAAATGTATAATTAAGTAGTTTTTAAATAAGATTTGAAAAACATTAAGTTTTAAACACAGTTGTTTATCACTTTTTCTTCTCAACTCGATGTAAAAGTTAGTTTTAATCAATAAAAAAGTTAAAGTCCCATTAGTCCCATATAGAATAAAATTTTAAAAAGTAAAAATGTCTTTAATGTTAATATATGTTACCATACTCAGGAGTTTTGCTC